TGTACCCGTGACAGGTAAAAGTAAACATACCTGATGTACTGTACCCGTGACAGGTAAAAGTAAACATACCTGATGTACTGTACCCGTGACAGGTAAAAGTAAACATACCTGATGTACTGTACCCGTGACAGGTAAAAGTAAACATACCTGATATACTGTATCCGTGACAGGTAAAAGTAAACATACCTGATGTACTGTACCCGTGACAGGTAAAAGTAAACACCCCTGACGTAATGTAAAAAGTAAACCTTTCCTATACCAGATCTTTCTGTATATAGGATGAATATGAAGCGAATTTATTTACTGGATGATAAAACCCACAATGCTGGTGATAAAAACAACTGCGACAAACATTTAAGTTTGACCTCGGAATCAATGTAAGATTGTACTAATTCTGGCTTATTATTCCTAGGTATTTTGTTGTTTATTGAACAACGCTTCTTAAAATATTATCTAAATCAAATCAACTAATGTACAATATTACGTGAGGAGGGATGTTGAACCAGAGATGTTTATGCGTGCCATGAGTATATTTCAATCTCTGCTCAAGTGGGACTGAATGAAACCAAATGTAATCTGTATGTTTTGTTTACCATATTGTAATGATCACATTACTGTTGATCTGGGCTTGTGAATACATCCTTTACAGATTTTGTAAGGGGAGATAACTCTTCGAAGCTAAACTAAAATAAAAATAATTCAATATGCTCTAAATTTGTAGATATAAATTGATAAAGCGAAATAAGTAAAATATACTGACAGGAAAAAGAAACGCAATTAGCAGAAAGTTAATATTGTAAAGTAAATCCTTGACGTACACCCTTGAAACTTGACAAATTTGTGCATTTGAGTTAGGTCCCTATGGTACCGTATTAGAATTACTGATGCATAACTAAAGTGACAAAAGCACGATATCTCGAACTCAGTATAAAGGATTGGCTCAAAATCTGTATGTGTGAATCTTCAGACATATCCGTCTTGATTTCCCACATTTTAAACATAAACAGTTCAACGTAAAAATGCCATGACTGCCCGAAGTTGACAGGGTCGTGCCATTGCACTTCTTATGCAAGGTACCCCGCAAAATCAGGTCGCTAATCAATTTGGAGTCCATCCATCGAACATTTGTCGTCTCATCCAAAGACTACATGCCACCGGAAGGGTTGCAGACCGTCCCCGAAGCGGTCGCCCTCGTGTGACGACGCGTCGGCAGGATAGGGCAATGCGACTTTCGCACCTACGCAATCGCTTTATGACGGCCACGGAAACAGCAAGGAACACAATTGGGCGTCATCATGTTCCAATTGATCCAAAGGCAGTGCGTACTCGACTGCGTTCCCTCGGTCTAAGACCGCGGCGACCATATGTTCGACCACAGCTTAATGCGCGGCGACGTGCCAGACGAATGCAATGGATGAACGCACATTCCGTAAGACGCTTCTCAATGCAACGTTGGAGAAGCGTCCTATTCTCAGATGAGTCAAGATTTTCGCTTTACCGGGCAGACGGCCGACGTCGTGTCTATAGACGTACCCACGAGCGCTATGCTGATACTTGCGTGATAGAGAATGACCGCTTTGGAGGAGGATCGGTCATGTATGGGGAGGGATTGCGCATGGTATCAAGACTCCTCTGGTCGTTATTCAGGGAAATCTCACGGCCGTCCGCTATAGAGATCAAGTCCTAGCGCCGCATGTTGTTCCTCTAGTACAGCAGCGTCAACTGACGTTTCAGCAGGACAACACCCGGCCGCAAACAATGTCCGCACCCTAGACTGGCCCCAATGCAGTCCTGACCTCTCCCCAATAGAACATTTATGGGACGAGTTGGACAGAAGGATAAGACGTAGGCCGAATCCTCCAATCAACGTCGCACAGTTGGCGTTGGCGCTGGATGAGGAATGGAATCGTATACTAATGAGGAGGGTTAATACCCCGATCAATTCAATGCACAAAAGAGTTCGTGCAGTTACTGCAGCTCGCGGGGGTACACACGATATTGATGGGTCCAGAACGCACTTCATTTTGAGTGGGGTACTCTTGAATCAACGTCAGATTTGAAAGGTTTACTTAACGTACACGAATGAAATTCTCGTAGATGAGAGAATAGTCAACTATCTTCCAGTTATACCATAATAACATTCTAAAACCCTTTTCTATTTCCCGTAGTTGACCTGGAAATTCCTAATTGCGTTTCTTTTTCCTCTCAGTATAATTAAAAGAGAAATAATTAAAAAATATAATGACTGAATAAATATCAATGTGACATTGTGGTCATTTTTTTTAAGCGACACAGATTTGTTTTTCAATTTTTTCATCTGCATGATACCATGCAAATGCTGTTGTCTGGAACAAAACAGAAGGAATGATTAAGGTTTTAACCTTCCATTGACTGTAAGTGAAAATCTCAAACAAGATCCAGAGCAGCCACTCAGCAATTTGGATACAGAACTTCTTTTTGATTAAGTTCTTGGTGGGCCATGGATACTTAGGCTACTGTGTAACTCCATGATAATTCTAAAAAAAACGGTGTTAAGTTCGAAGAGAAGCGAGAGACGACCGTAGAACTCAATATAGACGTTATTCTTCCACACAGCTGTCAGAGAATTATCAGAATTTAATTATGTTGTTTTCATTGTGCTTGGTTTTTCTTTAAGATTGTTTAACTTTCCTGAAAATTTAAATCTCCTACAAGACAAAGAGCGTCCATTTAGCAATTTCGATACAGAACTACTTTTTCATGAATAATGTTCTTTATGCCATGGATTCATAGAGAAGATATGATCAGTGTCCTAAACGTCAGCCGTATCAGAGTGAGGGTGAAGACAGACAAAAAGTGGCTCGCTACTTTTGTCTCTATCTATCCTGTTTCATGAACTGGAAATCAGACCATCAAACTTCAACAGTTTTGTTGTTAATCTTTGTTTACCTGACGTTGCTGTTACGCTGCATTTTGTCTGATAACGTACTGTGGGTCAAAATAATTGCTCCACGCAAATTTCTATGGATATGAGTGATTTAAGAACTTTTCTATATAAAATACCACATTACAACCTATAAAATAGCTTATTCCAATAGGTAATTATATTTTTAATATATTTTTCCGTAAATTCAGAAAGTAATTTTGTCGATTATGTTTTTCGTCACTGTCAAATACAGCAACAAGAGTACCGCAAAGCGGAACAAAATACGCCCGTGAATATCCAAAAACAGCAAAGGGGCATAACTCTTATTCAAATCGTCTAATCAAAACCCCGTTCAGGAAAACACAATTTCATATCATGGTGATTAAGCCTACCAAGTTTCATAAAGATCGGCTGAAAAATGTTGGAGATCTCCGGACAAGATTTCTATAGTGAAATAAACAAAGGGACATAACTCTTGTTCAAACCACCAAATCTAGACCCCGTTCAAGAAAACATAACTTCATATCATGGTGTTTCAGCCTACCAAGTTTCATAAAGATCGGCTAAAAATTTTGGAGGAGATCTCCGGACAAATAAAAGTTTACGATGGATGCTGGACACCAGACGGACGAACAGTGCCATACCATAATACGTCGGTCTTTCGATGAGCGTATAAAAAAATATGTGGCAGGTGTGTTCCAACGACGGCAGCACCAGTTGCAGCTGTAATAAGTTAAAGATGGCATCTGTCCAATACGGTGTGAAATGGGAGACAAATGTAGAACTCAGCATGGACAAAATCAATCAATACAATTAATACCTGGTATATACTTTTTAAAAATTTTTAATGTGTCGTATAATCTTATTTTGCCTGAATAATACTCCTTGATGTTCCTGTAATTAAACCATTGAACTACATAAGCTAACCTTACCCCAAATAGAATTCCACAAGTTCTAGTAACTGTAGTCTTGGATTTTTTCAAAATATATACAAACCCTCTTAATGGAGATATTAATACTGAGTCTTATTTCCATGGGGGAATGAACTGGGTTATTTTTGCGACAAATTCATTATCAACTGGAAAACAGATAAATATTAGGATTCATTCTTTTATGTAAATGATTTAATTCTCCATTACATCAACTCATAACAATTACCTACAAGATGACACTGCCCTCACACTGCCCTCACACTGCCCTCAAGTGTGATACACAATACCTACCTGTGCTGAGGGAGATTGAGGAAACTTGATCTTTGTCAATCAATTTTACAAATATCAACATGAAACTTGGTACAAAGATTATTAGTAAGTTAATATTAATATATATTTTAATATTTCCAACCTCGTTGCATATTTTAGGCAATGATGTCTGTAGAGCTTTTACATTTTCCATACTAATTGTATAAATAGTACATAGGGCTGCCATGTTGTCAATCTCGCTATAGTAAAATTGTCATAATTCGGTCATATTTTTCATCAATGAAAATAGAACTTGGTACATTAATTAATCATGTTCATATTATGTACATATGTTTTGGTGTCATTATCTTTCAAGACAAGTGTGATACAAAATGTACACTTGCATCGAGGAAAATTAAACTCTCAAAATAACTCAACCACAGATATCAACACGAGGCAGAGGACGTATTGTTATATCTATAATGTCACTATTTTGATATAAAAATATTTTTGAAGTCTTTACTTTTCTTACTTTCGTTGATGGTTATTTCTTGATGATTTTAAGATTTCCACTAATAAATCTATTCAAGTTCTAGATCAGATCAATTTCAATTACTTTCTTCAAGGAACTGAAGCATTACTCTAATATATTTAATGAAATTAGTTTTTAAAACTGTAATCCGATATTGAATTTCAGATTAATAATCTCTTTACCAAGTTACACACTTCCCCACCAGTGGAGCGGTATATTGTGGTAAGTATTTACCAAGTTACACACTTCCCCACCAGTGGAGCGGTATATTGTGGTAAGTATTTACCAAGTTACACACTTCCCCACCAGTGGAGCGGTATATTGTGGTAAGTATTTACCAAGTTACACACTTCCCCACCAGTGGAACGGTTACACACAAGTTACACACTTCCCCACCAGTGGAGCGGTATATTGTGGTAAGTATTTACCAGGGTTACACACTTCCCCACCAGTGGAGCGGTATATTGTGGTAAGTATTTACCAGGGTTACACACTTCCCCACCAGTGGAGCGGTATATTGTGGTAAGTATTTACCAGGGTTACACACTTCCCCACCAGTGGAGCGGTATATTGTGGTAAGTATTTACCAGGGTTACACACTTCCCCACCAGTGGAGCGGTATATTGTGGTAAGTATTTACCAGGGTTACACACTTCCCCACCAGTGGAGCGGTATATTGTGGTAAGTATTTACCAGGGTTACACACTTCCCCACCAGTTCTCTCCAGTGGAGCGGTATATTGTGGTAAGTATTTACCAGGGTTACACACTTCCCCACCAGTTCTCTCCAGTGGAGCGGTATGTTGTAAGTAAAGAACTTGCCCGTTTGCATTAATGCGAGTCTCAGTGAGGCTTAAGAAGTTCATTCTTTTGGAGCGGTGGCCCATTCCAGTAACAACCTTGCCTCCTGTTTTAAAGAGTATCAGTGAGGCTTGAGAAGTTCTCTTAAGTGAAGCAGCATATAGTGTCTAGAATTTACCAGTGTTTATTATTTTTTATCATTAAAAACAACTGATTAAATTCAACTTGTAAGTACCACATAATTTTCTTTCCTTTCAGACTATCAACCATTATGATGTTCTACCAGCAAGTATGTATCTTTACTAACCAATCAACAACATTGTTACAAAAAATAAAGTCATCATTCAGCCAATAGCAATCTTTGTTTCAAGACATATCATTCACCACAGCTTCTTTCATCCTTTCAGTCTGTTATCTGTTCCTCCGACTCATTTTCAAACTTCAACATTTTCAAACTCTGATGAAATAATTTATGAATCATGATTTTGTTGTCATGATGTTTCCTCCCATAACTTTTCCGGGATATCCACATTGGAAACTTTCAATTTATCATCCTTCATATGATCCTTATGAATATAGAATGTCCAGCGGTACTCCGGTCCAAGTTCAATGTCTAGCTGATTTATTTTCCATTCTGGAATTTCATTCTTTGGTGTTCTGGGGAAAAAAACCAGATGTACAGGAACATTCTGCACAAGCTGACAAAATTCTGGCTGTTTTACCTTTTCATAACTCTTTCTAATGATTTCTAAAACTATTACTACCAACATCAAAGCATCTTTCCTGAGTTTGAGCAGATGAAATCAATGGAAATGTCCCCTGCCATTATAAAATTGGACTGTTTTAATATAGCACTTTGGGGAATCCAGATCTCATTCACTGACTAGACCATAAATTTGAAGTGAAGTATCGGGTAATCCACAGGTCTGATCATTGTTCACTTATAATTTCTGCTGGTATCAGAATTTCATTGTTTTGTTTGACATATTTCTTTTCAATTTCAAAATATACACAAAATTTGACACTGTTCAGCTAATGTTTGTGAATTGATTGAGCTAGAACTAGATAAATTATCATAAATCAATGTGGTGTATTTGCTTATATGGTGAATTAAGGCATACAATATCTATAAGAATGTAAGAAGATCCTTTGTGAATCTTTCATCATATAATTCTCTTGATATCTAGATCAAGGGAGACAACTCCACAATCGTGTCTTTTTTTTTCTTTTCTTTTATGTTCAATGGAAAAAATATCTAATCCTGCTTGTTAAAAATTTTATCACTTTTCACTTCCAGAAAACAAGAAAATAATTTTATAATAACTATGCCAACACTCCCATGCAAAAAAGTATAAATTTCAGACAAATTTCTATAAAAAGCAATGATGACCTTGACATCGGAAACCATGGTCATCTATGGTATTGTCATGATGAACCTTTGTACATCAAATCCCTTAAGAAACACAACACTAGAGTGTTGGTATAAATTTTAAATGGGATGGTACAAACATGATATGTAATAACTGTATATTGTCAATCCCAGCAGTCTCTTTTTAACGTTTTATGTTACTTGTGTTATTGAAAATAAAATTCAGGAAATATTGGCAATAAAAAAGATGGTAACAAACAATGAAACAACTTTTACACAAACTTTTCTTTTTATCAAAAAAATGTAGAAAATGATTACACATTACAAACTTACTCTGTTGTAATTGGAGGTCTTGTTGCCCAAAGATACAAAAACGCTGAGGGCCCCTTAGAACCACTCACAGGAATCTTCAACTGAACAAAAAAAAGTTTGTTTACAACTTTTATATTTAACATAAATATTCAAGAACTGTCAACTCGGAACTGTTTAACAGCATAATCTGTCTTTAGCAAATCATTAAAAATTTACATATAATAAAAGAATGAAATTGAACCTGCCATTCATATCTTTATCATATATGCTTTTACATGAGTGAGGTATACATGACATTTAATGGGAAATCAATAAATTTTCATTTTATTATATTGTTAAATGGAATCTTTTAAAAAATTAATACATACATATTTCACTAGCAAAAATGATATAAACAAATCTTCCAAACAAAACGTCAAAGATGTTTTCATCCATTCAATCATGGACTTAGATAATCTTTTTCTAATCCCGTGCTTCGATATTTCAAAGGTTTCAGGTTTGAAGGGGAGTCTTGCTTTCACTTCATTTGTTGTATATGTAAGGATTTAAACGGGCTGAAATCCAGTAAAAGAATGTGTTGCTGCCAATCTTACCTTAGCGTTTCCAGCTAGAGGATCCACACTGTTCTCTGATGGATCTCTAGATATATTGTGAAGTGTCAGTGGACTGCCCAGTCTATCCATCACTACGTTATAACCCTGCAGTATTCCGAGAGCTTGACTAACGTATGGCTCTGACTTGATGGCCACTGAAAAGTATTGTATGATAACATTATCGTTACAGTACAAAAACCTAACAACATTGGCGTTGGAAATTCTGACTGTAAATTAAAAAAAAAAAAAAAAAACAGGACATGCACTCCTAGATGGTAGATCAGTATGGTGTATGTACACTCTACATTAACCAAGCATTCCAACAATACTTAGCAGAAGTCCGAATATTTTATTAGATAGTACCAAGCATAAAATACAAAAAGATTTCTTACCAAATCTTTATAAATGAATTTCCTGGAGTGTGAAAATCTTGCAGGACACTCATACCAACATGGTAGCCCTATGTAGTGTTAACTGTGCATGTTCTGTGTTAACTTCAACAGGACACTCACTCCAACATGGTTGCCTTATATAGTGTTAACTGTGCATGTCCTGTGTTAACTTCAAAGGACACTCACTCCAACATGGTTGCCTTATATAGTGTTAACTGTGCATGTCCTGTGTTAACTTCAACAGGACACTCACTCCTGCATGGTTGCCTTATATAGTGTTAACTGTGCATGTCCTGTGTTAACTTCAACAGGACACTCACTCCAACATGGTTGCCTTATATAGTGTTAACTGTGCATGTCCTGTGTTAACTTCAACAGGACACTCACTCCAACATGGTAGCCCTATATAGTGTTAACTGTGCATGTTAACTTCAACAGGACACTCACTCCAACATGGTAGCCCTATATAGTGTTAACTGTGCATGTTAACTTCAACAGGACACTCACTCCAACATGGTAGCTCTATATAGTGTTAACTGTGCATGTCATATGTTAACTTCAACAGGACACTCACTCCAACATGGTAGCCCTATATAGTGTTAACTGTGTATGTTAACTTCAACAGGAAACTCACTCCAACATGGTTGCCTTATATAGTGTTAACTGTGCATGTCCTGTGTTAACTTCAAAGGACACTCACTCCAACATGGTTGCCTTATATAGTGTTAACTGTGCATGTCCTGTGTTAACTTCAACAGGACACTCACTCAAACATGTTTGCCTTATATAGTGTTAACTGTGCATGTCCTGTGTTAACTTCAACAGGACACTCACTCCAACATGGTAGCCCTATATAGTGTTAACTGTGCATGTTAACTTCAACAGCACACTCACTCCAACATGGTAGCCCTATAGAGTGTTAACTGTGCATGTTAACTTCAACAGGACACTCACTCCAATATGGTAGCACTATATAGTGTTAACTGTGCATGTTAATTTCAACAGGACACTCACTCCAACATGGTAGCCCTATATAGTGTTAACTGTGCATGTCCTGTGTTAACTTTAACTGGACACTCACTCCAACATGGTAGCCCTATAGAGTGTTAACTGTGCATGTTAACTTCAACAGGACACTCACTCCATCATGGTTGCACTATATAGTGTTAACTGTGCATGTTAACTTCAACAGGACACTCACTCCAACATGGTAGCCCTATATAGTGTTAACTGTGCATGTTAACTTCAACAAGACACTCACTCCAACATGGTAGCCCTATATAGTGTTAACTGTGCATGTCCTGTGTTATCTTCAACAGGACACTCTTTCCAACATGGTAGTCCTATATAGTGTTAACTGTGCATGTTAACTTCAACAGGACACTCACTCCAACATGGTTGCCCTATATAGTGTTAACTGTGTATGTTAATTTCAACAGGACACTCACTCCAACATGGTAGCCCTATAAAGTTTACTGTGCATGTCCTGTGTTATGTTCAACAGGACACTCACTCCAACATGGTTGCCTTATATAGTGTTAACTGTGCATGTCCTGTGTTATCTTCAACAGGACACTCTTTCCAACATGGTAGCCCTATAGAGTGTTAACTGTGCATGTCCTGTGTTAACTTCAACAGGACACTCACTCCAACATGGTAGCCCTATATAGTGTTAACTGTGCATGTTAACTTCAACATGACACTCACTCCAACATGGTAGCCCTATATAGTGTTAACTGTGCATTTCCTGTGTTAACTTCAACAGGACACTCACTCCAACATGGTTGCCTTATATAGTGTTAACTGTGCATGTCCTGTGTTAACTTCAACAGGACACTCACTCCAACATGGTTGCCTTATATAGTGTTAACTGTGCATGTCCTGTGTTAACTTCAACAGGACACTCACTCCAACATGGTAGCCCTATACAGTGTTAACTGTGCATGTCCTGTGTTATCTTCAACAGGACACTCTTTCCAACATGGTAGCCCTATAGAGTGTTAACTGTGCATGTCCTGTGTTAACTTCAACAGGACACTCACTCCAACATGGTAGCCCTATATAGTGTTAACTGTGCATGTTAACTTCAACAGGACACTCACTCCAACATGGTTGCCTTATATAGTGTTAACTGTGCATGTCCTGTGTTAACTTCAACAGGACACTCACTCCAACATGGTTGCCCTATATAGTGTTAACTGTGCATGTTAACTTCAACAGGACACTCACTCCAACATGGTAGCCCTATAAAGTGTTAACTGTGCATGTCCTGTGTTAACTTCAACAGGACACTCACTCCAACATGGTTGCCCTATAGAGTGTTAACTGTGCATGTCCTGTGTTAACTTCAACAGGACACTCACTCCAACATGGTAGCCCTATATAGTGTTAACTGTGCATGTTAACTTCAACAGCACACTCACTCCAACATGGTAGCCCTATAGAGTGTTAACTGTGCATGTCCTGTGTTAACTTCAACAGGACACTCACTCCAACATGGTAGCCCTATATAGTGTTAACTGTGCATGTCCTGTGTTAACTTCAACAGGACACTCACTCCAACATGGTTGCCTTATAGAGTGTTAACTGTGCATGTCCTGTGTTAACTTCAACAGGACACTCACTCCATCATGGTAGCCCTATACAGTGTTAACTGTGCATGTCCTGTGTTATCTTCAACAGGACACTCTTTCCAACATGGTAGCCCTATAGAGTGTTAACTGTGCATGTCCTGTGTTAACTTCAACAGGACACTCACTCCAACATGGTAGCCCTATATAGTGTTAACTGTGCATGTTAACTTCAACAGGACACTCACTCCAACATGGTTGCCTTATAGAGTGTTAACTGTGCATGTCCTGTGTTAACTTCAACAGGACACTCACTCCAACATGGCAGCCCTATATAGTGTTAACTGTGCATGTTAACTTCAACATGACACTCACTCCAACATGGTAGCCCTATATAGTGTTAACTGTGCATGTTAACTTCAACAGGACACTCACTTCAACATGGTAGCCCTATAGAGTGTTAACTGTGCATGTTCTGTGTTAACTTCAACAGGACACTCACTCCAACATGGTAGCCCTATATAGTGTTAACTGTGCATGTCCTGTGTTATCTTCAACAGGACACTCTTTCCAACATGGTAGCCCTATAGAGTGTTAACTGTGCATGTCCTGTGTTAACTTCGTTCCTTTTAAGTCTGATAATCACAATGATATTCTTTATTGCTTCTATTATGATCCTGTATATCCATGTTATTGTCTGTTATTTCTGTCTACTTTGTTTCTGTCTTTTAAGTCTTTTATGTTTTTTTTTATCTATTTTACAATATATTCTTTTTATTTCTCACCTTTTTAATGAATTTTCTGACTTCATTCATAGACCACTTTTAATGAATTTTCTGACTTCATTCATAGACCACTTTTAATGAAATTTCTGACTTCATTCATAGACCACTTTTAATGAATTTTCTTACTTCAATCATAGACCACTTTTAATTAATTTTCTGACTTCATTCATAGACCACTTTTAATGAATTTTCTGACTTCATTCATAGACCACTTTTAATGAATTTTCTGACTTCAATCATAGACCACTTTTAATGAATTTTCTGACTTCATTCATAGACCACTTTTAATGAATTTTCTGACTTCATCCATAGACCACTTTTAATGAATTTTCTGACTTCAATCATAGACCACTTTTAATGAATTTTCTTACTTCAATCATAGACCACTTTTAATGAATTTTCTGACTTCATTCATAGACCACTTTTAATGAATTTTCTGACTTCAATCATAGACCACTTTTAATGAATTTTCTGACTTCAATCATAGACCACTTTTAATGAATTTTCTGACTTCAATCATAGACCACTTTTAATGAATTTTCTGACTTCATCCATAGACCACTTTTAATGAATTTTCTGACTTCAATCATAGACCACTTTTAATGAATTTTCAGACTTCATCCATAGACCACTTTTAATGAATTTTCTGACTTCATTCATAGACCACTTTTAATGAATTTTCTGACTTCATTCATAGACCACTTTTAATGAATTTTCTGACTTCAATCATAGACCACTTTTAATGAATTTTCTGACTTCATTCATAGACCACTTTTAATGAATTTTCTGACTTCATTCATAGACCACTTTTAATGAATTTTCTGACTTCATTCATAGACCACTTTTAATGAATTTTCTGACTTCATTCATAGACCACTTTTAATGAATTTTTGTTTCTTGCTTCATCTCATATTATTTCTATTGTTTTCTGCCATGTTTGACCTGAGAAAGAACCATTTCTTTATAACATATGATTTTCAGGATGCCATTTTGACTTCATTCTGGTAAGCATATATAGGAAAATGGCATCACATGGAAATTAGCAGTGTTGATAATTTTGTATTACTCCTAAAATAAACAATGGAAAATTAAATTCATATTATGAGAAGACAAGAGATCCCAGAGGGATCTTGGCGCCCACCGTTTGAGGATCTGTTTTCAGTTCTTGAAGATTTGTTTATTTTTTTTTGTTTGTTACAGGTGTTGTAAATGTTCATGAACTGGTCTTCATTGAATGTACTCAATGATGGCACAAGATATTTTTATTAAGCACCTATTAGCAAATATCATTTGAAAAAGATCCCAAAGTATTATTAGACAGCAGTCAGTTACAGGTGGATAATGGACAATATGCTTGTGCTGTATTACTGTCCACATCCAAGATGGCTGCCTGTGGGCCACCTTGATTTCAAATCAGTCCAAAAAAGGTACTAGGGAAACCAATATCTATGAAATATCAGAAGGATCCATCCAGTACTTCCCCAGATATAGCAGTAACAAGATTTTACTCTCAAAATCCTAGATGGCTGCCTGTCAGCCATCTTGATTTCGGATCAGTCCAAAAAGGTATAATGCACAACTTGGAACCAAAGGGAACCTACATATGAAATTTAAGAAAGATCCATCCAGTACTTTCCAAGAAATAGCAGTAACAAACTTTTACATTCAAAATCCAAGATGGCCACCTGTGTGCCATCTTGAATTCGAATAGGTCCAAAAAAGGTACAATGCACAACTAGGGACCAAGGGGAAACTGCATATGAAATTTAAGAAAGATCCATCCAGTACTTTCCAAGAAATAGCAGTAACAAACTTTTACTTCCAAAATCCAAGATGGCTGCTTGTCGGCCATCTTGAATTCGAATCAGTTCAAAAAAGGTACAATGCACAACTAGGGACCAAGGGGAACCTGCATATGAAATTTAAGAAAGATCCATCCAGTACTTTTCAAGAAATAGCGGTAACAAGAATTGTTTACGGACGGACGGACGGACGACAGACCACGGACGCAGGGCTAAAAATCTCCAAAATCAAATGAGCACAAAGAGAGACCAAATGAAATTTGGAAGATGGCTGCCTTCAGCCATTTTGTTTTTCTGATTAGTTCCAAACTCAAACAGGCTCAACCAGGGACTAAGGGAAACCTACACCTGAAAGTTAAGAAAGACCCATTATGCACTTCTCAAGAAATAGCGATAACAAACTTTCAAAGTCAAAATCCAAAATGGCCACCTTTCAGCCATTTCCTTTTTTCTAATCAGTCCCTAAGTTACAATGGCACAACTAAGGACCAAGGGGAACCTACATTTGAAATTTGAGAAAGAAATATTCTGTACTTCTCAAGAAATAGCAATAACAAACTTTCAAAGAAAAAATCCTAAATGGTCTCCTTTCGGCCATTTTGTTTTTCTGATCAGTCCCAAAATTATACAGGCACAACTAGAGACCTGGAGAAATCTACACATGAAATTTGATCCATCCCTTACTTTTCAAACAATAGCAATAACAAACTTACTTGAAAAATCCAAGATGGTTGCTTGTCAGCCATTTAGTCAATTTTTTTATCACTTCCAAAAAATCAAACAGGAACACCTGATGATGGTGGGCTAGATAATGTGAAAGACTTATAGCATGTCACTGTATTTTTGTTAATTTTTTTTTCACTAGTTCCCCGCAACAACCATAATGAACCATATATTACAACTGTGTATTTGATGTGATGTATTTCATGTAATTTCTGTGTCTTGATAAATGGGCAGATTGCCCCGAAAATTTGACAATTTACTTGTCTGCACTGTCGTTATTAACTTTAAATCTATATATACAAACACAGTGTACATGTAAAAATGAGGACACTATATACTTATTCTCTAGATTGACTAAAGGTAGCAGTACACAGTTTCTCGGTGTGTCCATGGGTGATATTTTTGTTCATAAGATTACCCCATTATAAAGGTTTTAAAAACAATAAATCCTTGTTTTAGACCAGTTTTAGGTCTTGTCATGTTGAAGTGGACAATGTGGGGTTTCATTTTTTTCAGAATAATACTTCAGCTTTGTGTTGGAGTTTACTATTTGGGCATTCTCAAATCTGTGTCTATGCACCAAAAACTAGCTTTACAGGGAGTGAAATTTTCATAGTATTTAGACGTGGTCATGTTGTGAAGGATTTCCGAGTTAGAATTTGCTGAAATATAAGTAGTTTGTTACCATTGATTTTAAGACAGGTGTTCAGAAATTGATTTCTTCTATAAAGTTGTAGTGTTAAGATGGAATTAGCAGTATTTTTGCATTTTTAGCATTTTTTCAGTTGGTAACCATGGCAATCACATGTCAGAAATTAGAGGAAATTTTTTATTTATACAATTTTTCATCTCCTACTTTGAATGTAATTGTTATGCAGTTTATAAATATCTTTACATGTAATGATGATTTTTTTCCATAACAAAACTGCTATACTTGTATATCTCAAACATGACCAATATCATTTTAAAAACAAAGTAAAACAATTTCTGATGCTACAATCAAAAGGCAAATTTGACAACCCCTTCGTCTACTATTGAGCTCAACCTCCACTTCTTTGCGTCTGGTTGAACGGGTAGTGATGTTATATTATTGTTCATGTTATATTATTATGTAATACCTCTTCAAATCACATCCTTTTTCATAAATGCCCTGAAATGTGCCAAAACATTTTAATCACTTTCAGCATTTGTTCTATCTTCTATGTAAATGTAATTTTCTTTCAAATGTAGTGCTCTGTTTCATTTATAGTTAATGAAAATTAGATAAAGAAAATAAATTCAATCTCATTTCCATGGCTTTACATCTCAACCGGAATGATTACACCTTAAATGGACCCCATTGGAAATAAGCCTATTTTATAGGCTTTATGGGTAATCCAAGGCCAAAGGCATTTTCATCTGGTTTTATCAAATTTCTCTCTTTTTTATTGATATTTCTAAAATTTTCAACTATTTTATTTAGAAGATTTGCAAGCACAGTGTAATTTAATTTCTGCGATACTAGTTTAAACTGTGATATTTTAAGGTATGTGAAATTCTTCTGTGATATCTTATATTTTATAATTAATAATTTTAAGAAATCCACAATAATTTATCACTGATTTTAATTGTTATTGAATTGCTTATGTGATATTTGTAATGTGTAATTTTATTATGCCTTTGCCTGAAGAAACATAATAATAAAAATAATAATGCTTTTTTAAAAATGCAAATAAACTGTTTCCTGCTATCAAAGGGGCTATGTTCCGTTGTAGTAGGCTGAAATCTGTTCCCTCAACTTCTTAAATGATTTTACCTTGTTCATTTTTCCGTTTGTATACCTGGAATCCGACAAAACTGACACCAAAACATCCAGCGGAGGCTACTGCAAGTTCCAGGAATCGTGACATTGTCAATCACGTTGTTTTGATTAAGGATCTGGTCGACCCAGATCTAAGGGGAGCAGTGTAGAAATCAGATAGGTATAGCTGATAGAAAATTTCATTTATAAACCATCTGCGTCAGTCAAGGGTGTGCACTGGGATCTTCTTTTGAAAGTTTTGAAGAAAAAAAATCAAGAAAATACTATCACAGCAACAAAATCATAATCAAAACTCAAATTCCATAATCTAGGGCAAAATATGAACAAATGAAAGATTTACACGGAGACTTTTGAAAAAAATACAAGGAGAATAAGACCAGGTGTTCAAATTTGAGTTTGTTACTATGAATATTATTCAGTCATCAGGGACCCCACCTTCTAGGCTTTGATGGGTCATGCCAGGGACCCTACCTTCTAGGCTTTGATTGGTCATCCCAGGGACCCCACCTTCTTGGCTTTGATGGGTCATCCCAGGGACCCTACCTTCTAGGCTTTGATGGGTTATGTCAGGGACTCCACCTTCTAGGCTTTGATGGGTCATGCCAGGGACCCCACCTTCTAGGCTTTGATGGGTCATCCCAGGGACCCCACCTTCTTGGCTTTGATGGGTCATCCCAGGGACCCTACCTTCTAGGCTTTGATGGGTTATGTTAGGGACTCCACCTTCTAGACTATGATGGGTCATGCCAGGGACCCCACCTTCTAGGCTTTGATGGGTCATGCCAGGGACCCCACCTTCTTGGCTTTGATGGGTCATCCCAGGGACCCCACCTTCTTGGCTTTGATGGGTTATGTCAGGGACTCCACCTTCTAGGCTTTGATGGGTCATGCCAGGGACTCCACCTTCTAGGCTTTGATGGGTCATCCCAGGGACCCCACCTTCTAGGCTTTGATGGGTCATCCCAGGGTCCCCACCTTCTAGGCTTTGATGGGTCATGCCAGGGACTCCACCTTCTAGGCTTTGATGGGTCATCCCAGGGACCCCACCTTCTTGGCTTTGATGGGTCATCCCAGGGACCCTACCTTCTAGGCTTTGATGGGTCATGCCAGGGACTCCACCTTCTAGGCTTTGATGGGTCATGCCAGGGACCCCACCTTCTAGGCTTTGATGGGTCATCCCAGGGACCCTAGGCTTTGATGGGTCATCCCAGGGACCCCACCTTCTTGGCTTTGATGGGTTATGTCAGGGACTCCACCTTCTAGGCTTTGATGGGTCATGCCAGGGACTCCACCTTCTAGGCTTTGATGGGTCATGCCAGGGACTCCACCTTCTAGGCTTTGATGGGTCATCCCAGGGACCCCACCTTCTAGGCTTTGGTGTGTCATCCCAGGGTTCCCACCTTCTAGGCTTTGATGGGTCATCCCAGGGTCCCCAGGCTTTGATGGGTCATGCCAGGGACTCCACCTTCTAGGCTTTGATGGGTCATCCCAGGGACCCCACCTTCTTGGCTTTGATGGGTCATCCCAGGGACCCCACCTTCTAGGCTTTGATGGGTCATGCCAGGGACTCCACCTTCTAGGCTTTGATGGGTCATGCCAGGGACCCCACCTTCTAGGCTTTGATGGGTCATCCCAGGGACCCTACCTTCTTGGCTTTGATGGGTCATCCCAGGGACCCCACCTTCTAGGCTTTGATGGGTTATGTCAGGGACTCCACCTTCTAGGCTTTGATGGGTCATGCCAGGGACTCCACCTTCTAGGCTTTGATGGGTCATGCCAGGGACTCCACCTTCTAGGCTTTGATGGGTCATCCCAGGGACCCCACCTTCTAAGCTTTGGTGTGTCATCCCAGGGTTCCCACCTTCTAGGCTTTGATGGGTCATCCCAGGGTCCCCACCTTCTAGGCTTTGATGGGTCATGCCAGGGACTCCACCTTCTTGGCTTTGATGGGTCATCCCAGGGACCCCACCTTCTTGGCTTTGATGGGTCATCCCAGGGACCCCACCTTCTAGGCTTTGATGGGTCATCCCAGGGTTCCCACCTTCTAGGCTTTGATGGGTCATCCCAGGGTCCCCACCTTCTAGGATTTGATGGGTCATCCCAGGGTCCCCACCTTCTACGCTTTGATGGATCATGCCAGGGAAAATGGCATTTTATCAGCAATATCGGTTTCTTATATTTGTTAATCATCTTTAAACAATGAAATAATAGATATACGCGTATATTTGGATATACAGGTAACCTTACTAGCTCCGGCTAATGGGAAATTTCCTAAAATTGAGCAGTGGTGTGTCCCGGGCTAGAGACCAAAGGGCCGTCTAAGTAAGTCAGAACCCCGGCGGTGGCAGGGTATTTTTCTTAATACGTACTCATTACAAGAGGAAATGGACAAACGTCCCTCTCTGAAAAAATCATTCTCTTAAATGAAAGGTTTTCTCAATCAAAGGAAAACAATATGTACTACAGCATAACTTTGAATTGAAGAAATGTCTTACAAATGATTTAAGTGTTTTAGTAGACAAGGGATTGAATTTTGTGTCTCGTATACAACAAACAGTAACACGGTTGTTCATGAGAATGTTTTTTATGCATTTTGATGAAGTTCATGTTAAACAATTATTGAAGACAATAGTTCGCTCACACTTACAGCATGCGACAAAAGCTTTACAAAGTCAATGACATTGATTGAAGAAACGAAGGCGGTGAAATTGTAATACCTGGATCAAAGGATTTATTCCAATAGAACCTTTTCTTAATTGGCATTCCGTCGCTTGCATTTAGAACGTTAACAGACGCAAGGGTTCTGCGGACTATTTTTCCGATAGTACGAACCCTGTTTAGAGGCGACATGATTAATATCTGCGAGATGTTCAACTTCAGCTGTGTAGTGACCACAGGAATCTCCGATAACGACACTTCACTGCGAACAACAGGACCTTCAGAGAAGTTAAAGAAAAAGTCCTGCGACCATAGCATCTTCAACCTCACGATTCCTTTTGTCTTTGTTGAAGTTTGACGGAGTTTTCCAGAGGAGGTCGTACAAGCTACCATAGGTAGGGAATTTGAAATTCGTTTGGACAATAAACAAACAAATAAATAAACACAAATATAATTAATTGTCTGATCATAGTTTCTTTAGCGGAAGATAAAACATTACCTGCATTTTTTCATATTATAGATTTAGAGGCATCAACTATCCTCTTGAGATCCTTCTATATTGAACTGAAGTGACCGAGGCCATTTTAGAACAAAATACCGAAATGACATGATATTAAGTCCATGGTGTTACCCGAGTAACTGAACATGGAATTAAAACTGTAAGTGTGACTTCCTGGGTGTTCCTCATAATATCCCCGACCATTATTGAAGACGGATATCAGACCGCAGAAAAGAGATATTTTTAACGGGGATCTGTTTGTATACTCTGATAACCCGGAGTTACTTCGATTCGTTTTACCAAGATAATTTATCCTGTATTTAGGCACTACCTCGCATGGTATCCAAGATGGCGACGCCCATGAGCTGGAGCATGAAGAAATTTTGTCTTCGCGCTTTTAGGTAGTAAACACTATTTTACTGCCGTTGTAGATAACCATAATGTCACAATGTTATTAGCACCACTAAAAATTCAAAGGATGTTCAGGTATACAAAACGTCTAGTACTTCTGTCCGTGATCTGTCCTACAACAAAATGAAGTCCTGTAGTCAACTATGATAGGTACAAATACTGTATTTATATTTTCTTTATGGATTTGAAAGGAAGCACTGGAAATCTAGTGCGGCTAATATAATTATCATCTCGAAGAATATGAGTGTCTTTGCACTCCGACACAATGCAGCACAACCGGATATTGATGCTTCTCGGCTGCCAGGTGGGGATCAGATTGGCTAATGGTTTCCCACCCTTATAGATGTACCTCACTGTCAATAATCAATCACAAGAGAAATCCTATTTGATATAACTACACTCAGATCTTGTCTAATTAGACCTATTTGTTAGAAACCAGTGACCAGGCAATCAAGGCATGTCCATCATAAATCCTTCCAAATTCCTCACCGCAGAACTCAGGCTAGAAAACATTAATTTTTCCCTCGTCTGCATAGAATAAGATCCCACCAGATATCATCTCATCCTGTCTTACCACTGAATCCTTCAAAACTTCTCTCCGCTCACTGTACCCTTAAAATGAAATATTTATATACATATATTCTTTCTTTTTCTTTAAGGTAAATCTCCTTCTCTCTCATGATATTATCTTCAATTTGTTGATGTTGGTCATTATCATTTAGAAGTAGAAGTAGAAGAATGTACGAGTACTCATCTGTATTTTTTTTCAGACTGATATTTTGTTGTTATCAAATGCGACGTTGATAATTTGTATTTGGTATAACAGTTTGTATAGAAACTAGAAAATATATTTTCAAAACTTTCCAAATGTAATTTTTGACACCAGTATCCATTTTGTCAGCTTTTTTCATCAACAGCATTACTCCACAACTTAACAGTTAATTGAGAAAACTCATAAGAGTTCACACCTTCGGGTGTTGACCAGTTTAATACTTTTTACTTATGTCATGATGTGTAGTAGTTATAACAAGTACAACAATGAATAAAAGGGACACAATCAAGTGTTCAGAATTGAGACAAGTGCCTTTGCTATAAAAAGTATGGAAATGAATATGGAACTGAATTGTAGACGGGATTTCTGATTGTGAATGGCTGTCTCCTTGAGTTATGAACCAAAGGCAAGGGAAATTATAAAAACTGGAATAACACATCTGAAAACGAACAAAAAACTATACAAATTATCACTAATTACCCGCGAATACAGGTTACTGAAGTAATATGAAAATATTGATTTCAGATGCCAAATCAGGTGCCAAGGTAGTGTATTAGGTGCAGGTTTGCAGCTACACTTCTCCAGGGGTAGGACTTACAGCTCCAAGGCTCCCAGGAACATTCTGACTCTTCATGACAGAGGCATCTTTCAGACTATCTACCCCAGTGGCAGGTTTTGTATCATGTCTACTGTTAAGAACTTATCCAGAGTTGTATAAATGTACCATATTGCTGGTGATTTGAATTGGTCAAATTTCTTGCGATTTTCTTTCAAAATAATAAAATCATATTTGAACAAATTAAAATTGTTCAGTCTGAATTTAAAATGATTTCTAATACACATGGGTATCATCATTTCATGGATTAAATCTCATTTAAATACCATGAAATTATTTTGATTTTCGAGGCATCTACAGGCTAATGGATAACCTATAATAGTTTCTATAGCAAGTTAATATTTTCCATTGACTACATTTTTATAAGTAAACATCCTCTATCTAAAGTATTGATACTCTGTCATATATATATATATCTTTACTTGTGATATATCTAACAGGAAACCATTAAATATCCTCTATATACCATTAGGTGACAAAGTCTCATTGTGACCTATTTTAATACCCTTCATCCAATGTTGTGCATCCGTAAAACATTTAACACTTTTGACTTTTCAAAAAACCCAGATCTGATTTCAATGACATTTTACGGAAACTTTCCCTGGCCTAAGATGAACCAAAATTGTGAATTAAATAGTTCCCACCCTCGAGAGGCCAGAGAGGCGGGCCAAAAAGGGTCAAATTGATATGGATTTCCAAAATCTTCTTCTCTAGACCCAGTTATGATAGAATCAAATACTCTTCGTGAATGAAGTATCTAACTAAAATTGTGAATTTTATGGCCCCAGGGTCCCTGTAGGGAGGGGGTAAAGTTTACTATAGTTTATATGGAAAACTAGATTTTTGAACATAATTTGTTTAATTTCCATTGGAAATATTTCAAACTTGGTTAGAATAATGAGTGAAGGATGACGGCTTGATAGTATGCCCATTTTGATCCTGACTGACCCCAAGGGGCTGATGGGTGGGGCCAAAAGGGGTCAAAGTGACTTAAATTTCCAAAATCTTCTTCTTAAGACCCAGATATGGTAGAATCAAATACTCTTCATGAATAGAAGCATCTTAAGGTGATTTGATTACCAAAATGGGTCTCACATTTCTTCCAAGGGAGGAAGTTATTAGAGTTTACTGTAATTTTCATAGAAAAATAGCATTTTTGAGCATAATGTTGGTTATTTCCCACTTGAAATAACTTTATAAGAATTATCAGTATAGGAGAACAGTTTTGATGGAATGCATGTATTGATACTGACTTACTATATTCAGTGTCACAATTTCTGTTTCATGACACTTGATAACTACCCTTTAACCTTTATACTCAATATTGCTTATCTCAGGTGACCGTCAAGGCTGCTAGGCCTCTTGTATAATACTGATATTCTGTCATATACTTACCTGCACTGACAATAATATTTTAGAGACTTGCTTATAACATCTGTGTTAGAATCAGCTGCTATATTTCCCTATATGAAGTATGCAGTTGTGGAAAGTATACATGTATATCATCGCAAAAATCATGGGTTCAAAGTTTCTAATGTTTTCATGAATTAGCAAATTAATGTTCTTATAAAACGACTTTTACTTGAATTTTAAGAATTATTGAAAGAGCGGACGGAAAAGCATTTTTGCTGACAGTTCTGTCTGGAATCAGACTCTAGTCTCTGGTGTGGTGAAACCAAAGAACCGTGCTCAATAAGCTGAGTGGTCGAGAAACTATTAAAAAAAGTAACACCCTGTGGTGAAAAATAAAATTTAAAGAAAGTAGCATCAAATGAATATTTCTGGTAAAAATTGAATTATTCTTTATTGAAGATTATATTTGATTTACGGATTCAATAATCCCTCTTTTCTCTTCAGTACCCCCGAGCTGGTCCAGAGGTTATCCAAACAAATGACTGTGTACTGTGGTTTTGACCCTACAGCAGAAAGTCTACACATTGGTAACCTTCTGGCAATTATAGCACTACTTCACTGTCAGCGTGGAGGACACAGACCTATAGGACTAGTAAGTGACAATTGTAGCACTGCTTCACTGTCAGCGTGGAGGACACAGACCTATAGGACTAGTAAGTGACAATTATAGCACTGTTTCACTGTCAGTGTGGGGGACACAGACCTCTTGGACTAGTAAGTGACAATTATAGCACTGCTTCACTGTCAGTGTGGGGGACACAGACCTATAGGACTAGTAAGTGACAATTGTAGCACTGCTTCACTGTCAGCGTGGAGGACACAGACCTATAGGACTAGTAAGTGACAATTATAGCACTGTTTCACTGTCAGTGTGGGGGACACAGACCTCTTGGACTAGTAAGTGACAATTATAGCACTGCTTCACTGTCAGTGTGGGGGACACAGACCTATAGGACTAGTAAGTGACAATTGTAGTCCTACTTCACTGTCAGTTTTGGGGACACAGACCTCTTGGACTAGTAAGTGACAATTATAGCACTGCTTCACTGTCAGTGTGGGGGACACAGACCTATAGGACTAGTAAGTGACAATTGTAGTCCTACTTCACTGTCAGTGTGGGGGACACAGACCTCTTGGACTAGTAAGTGACAATTATAGCACTGCTTCACTGTCATTGTGGGGGACACAGACCTATAGGACTAGTAAGTGACAATTATAGCACTGCTTCACTGTCAGCGTGGAGGACACAGACCTATAGGACTAGTAAGTGACAATTGTAGTCCTACTTCACTGTCAGTGTGGGGGACACAGACCTATAGGACTAGTAAGTGACAATTGTAGTCCTACTTCACTGACAGTGTGGGGGACACAGACCTATAGGACTAGTAAGTGACAATTGTAGTCCTACTTCACTGTCAGTGTGGGGGACACAGACCTATAGGACTAGTAAGTGACAATTGTAGTCCTACTTCACTGTCAGTGTGGGGGACACAGACCTATAGGACTAGTAAGTGACAATTGTAGCTGTACTTCACTGTCAGTGTGGGGGACACAGACCTATAGGACTAGTAAGTGACAATTATAGCACTGCTTCACTGTCAGTGTGGGGGACACAGACCTCTTAGACTAGTAAGTGACAATTATAGCACTGCTTCACTGTCAGTGTGGGGGACACAGACCTATAGGACTAGTAAGTGACAATTATAGCACTGCTTCACTGTCAGTGTGGGGGACACAGACCTATAGGACTAGTAAGTGACAATTATAGCACTGCTTCACTGTCAGCGTGGAGGACACAGACCTATAGGACTAGTAAGTGACAATTATAGCACTGCTTCACTGTCAGTGTGGGGGACACAGACCTATAGGACTAGTAAGTGACAATTGTAGTCCTACTTCACTGTCAGTGTGGGGGACACAGACCTATAGGACTAGTAAGTGACAATTGTAGTCCGTGTACTTCAGTAAGTGACAATTGTAGCACTACTTCACTGTCAGTGTGGGGGACACAGACCTATAGGACTAGTAAGTGACAAGGACTAGTAAGTGACAATTGTAGTCCTACTTCACTGTCAGTGTGGGGGACACAGACCTATAGGACTAGTAAGTGACAATTGTAGTCCTACTTCACTGTCAGTGTGGGGGACACAGACCTATAGGACTAGTAAGTGACAATTATAGCACTGCTTCACTGTCAGTGTGGGGGACACAGACCTATAGGACTAGTAAGTGACAATTGTAGTCCTACTTCACTGTCAGTGTGGGGGACACAGACCTATAGGACTAGTAAGTGACAATTGTAGCCGTACTTCACTGTCAGTGTGGGGGACACAGACCTATAGGACTAGTAAGTGACAATTGTAGTCCTACTTCACTGTCAGTGTGGGGGACACAGACCTATAGGACTAGTAAGTGACAATTGTAGTCCTACTTCACTGTCAGTGTGGGGGACACAAACCTATAGGACTAGTAAGTGACAATTGTAGCTGTACTTCACTGTCAGTGTGGGGGACACAGACCTATAGGACTAGTAAGTGACAATTATAGCACTGCTTCACTGTCAGCGTGGAGGACACAGACCTATAGGACTAGTAAGTGACAATTATAGCACTGCTTCACTGTCAGTGTGGGGGACACAGACCTCTTGGACTAGTAAGTGACAATTATAGCACTGCTTCACTGTCAGTGTGGGGGACACAGACCTATAGGACTAGTAAGTGACAATTGTAGTCCTACTTCACTGACAGTGTGGGGGACACAGACCTATAGGACTAGTAAGTGGCAATTATAGCACTGCTTCACTGTCAGCGTGCAGGACACAGACCTATAGGACTAGTAAGTGACAATTGTAGTCCTACTTCACTGTCAGTGTGGGGGACACAGACCTATAGTAGAAAACATATCATGTGACATGAGGCCTATTATAATAACTTGTAATTGGTTTGTTACAATATCAGGTATATTTTACAAAATGTTGTTGATTTTGTTTTAGCTAGGGGGCGCCACTGCCATGGTTGGGGATCCAAGTGGTAAAACTAAAGACAGGAAGCCGATGAATGTTGCTGAGGTTGAGAGAAATATGGAGTCAATAGGAGAAAGTCTGCAGAGAATATTTGATAATCACAGGGAATTTGTATGGAAAGAGGATAAAGAGTTATCTCCCTTAAAGTAAGATCTAGAGGATAAATGTGTTGCAGGTTCCAACAATGACCTTGCCATATGATAAAAAATTAAGTCACATCAATAGATATCTTTTAAAAATAACTTAAAAACAGACTTTTATCAACATACTGTTGTATTTATTTCTACCGTGTCAGTATGATCTTTGAAGTTTCCTCTTCTGTAAAATTACAGCAATGCTATTTCATTGTCCTGTAATAAGCCCACCCCTTGACTTGGAGGAAGAATTACAATGTTAACCAACTAGGCTAAAGAATACATTATGATAAATTCACTGATAATGTATGAACACTTAACTGCTTGTTGCATGTTTTTTGTTTTTCTCAAATTTATTGCAGTAAGTTAACTTTTGTATTTACAGAATTTTAAACAATGCTGACTGGTACCGTGATATAAATATCGTTAGTTTCCTTTCCACCATTGGACGTCAATTTCGACTTGGTCCAATGTTGTCTCGTCAGAGGTAAAATAATTATTAATTTTAGATAATTCATTTTGATGATGTTAGGTAGTCACTAGACTTCACTTTCAGATAGTGTTTCATGATTTCAGGATTTTTAAACATAGATTTATATTAGATTAGATTGATTACATTACCAAAACAATACCTATACATATTTATTAGTGAAAGATATAATAAAACTGTACAGATACACATTGTGACATTGTGTATCTAAATTTCAATCTGTACAGATACACATTGTGTATCTAAATTTCAATCTGTACAGATACACATTGTGACATTGTGTATCTAAATTTCAATCTGTACAGATACACATTGTGTATCTAAATTTCAGTCTGTACAGATATGCAATGTAACGTTGTACAAACTGAAATTTAGATTTGTATAGATACAGATAATGACATTTTAAAATGGCTTTGAATATTGAGAACATAGTACGATTGTACCCCCAGAATATACTGTAAATCACTTAGATTTCGTGAAAACTTTATTTCAGGAACTTACTTGTTTAGACATAATCACGAATATATAATTTTGCGGCTGCTGATCTAGAAATATAGATTCAGTAATGGTGAGGTACTAGAGACTCTGTAACACTACAGTAACATGATCAGGAGTGATTTTCTTACAGGGATTTAGATTAACTCTCTTAATAATGAGAAAATAAATCTCATGCAAAATAAATATGATATAAGTAGTAGGTACAGTTTTATATTTGTTGGCTATATGGTATAATAAAAGTTGAAAACTGACCTGAATTTTTATACAAAATTAAATTGAGGTGTTTTTCAAATACCTGATTTCATATAAACTGTTAAGGTCACATGATTGTTTATCTGATTTCATATAAACTGTTAAGGTCACATGATTGTTTATCTGATTTCGTATCTGTTCATTTGATAATTAGGTTGAAAATAATGGAACTATGAAATTCAGTATCAGTCAACAATGAAATTCAGTATCAGTCAACAATGAAATTCAGTATCGGTCAACAATGAAATTCAGTATCGGTCAACAATGAAATTCAGTATCGGTCAACAATGAAATTCAGTATCGGTCAACAATGAAATTCAGTATCGGTCAACTATGAAATTCAGTATCAGTCAACAATGAAAATCAGTATCAGTCAACAATGAAATTTGAGGCTCACAAAAATGTATAATTTAACAGTATGTTGTTTGTAGTGTTTCAGAGAGAATGAAATCACCACAAGGGATGAGTTTTACAGAGTTCAGCTATCAAATCCTCCAGTCTTATGATTGGTTACACCTCTGTCGCCATCACAACTGTGCAATACAGATCGGAGGGAATGATCAAATTGGAAATATTACATCTGGCTTTGAGCTCCTTTGTGCGGAAACGAATGAACGTGTTTGGGGTATGTTGGATGCAGCCAATGCTTTAGTTCTGATCTAAATAACTTAAATTGGATTACTTCGTTTAAAATAAAATGAAACTTTAAGTTGTAAATGTAATGGGCTGTTCAAATCACCCTGTGGCCGTTGTCTGTCCCTCCATCTGTCCCCAGTTATTGGTCTTTCATGAAAAGTAACAGAGGAATCTTTCTTATGTTTTATCTTTGGGTCCTCTTAGCCATCGTTGTGTCCTGGTGGTTTTGGGACTGATCATGAAAACAAAATGGCTGACAGGCTGCCATATTGAATTTTGATGACATGAGCTTGTTCTGTAAATGTAATGGGCTGTTCAAATCACCCTGTGGCCGTTGTCTGTCCCTCCATCTGTCCCCAGTTATTGGTCTTTCATGAAAAGTAACAGAGGAATCTTTCTTATGTTTTATCTTTGGGTCCTCTTAGCCATCGTTGTGTCCTGGTGGTTTTGGGACTGATCATGAAAACAAAATGGCTGACAGGCTGCCATATTGAATTTTGATGACATGAGCTTGTTCTGGCTGTTTATTGAGAAGTACTAGATGGAATTCACTTGGTCAGCAGATATGCCCATTTGATTTTGTGACTTATCAGGATATTAAGTTGATATTTCTTGAGAAGTACTCCACCAATGTTTGAGAGTTTTTCATATGTAGGTTCCCCTTGGTCATCTTTAGAACTCTTTTGATTTTGAGACTGGTCTGAAAAACATAATGGCTGACAGACGGCCATCTTGAACTTGAAATTATGGGCATTTAAGAGAAATTATGGGGAAAGGGTGTTTCTTGTATGGCCCAGTGAAATGTAGATTTCGATGTACTGTAAACAAAATTTTCAGCTATAATGTAGATAAGTGATCTAGATCAGAACAAAGGTCCTTTGTAATCTACAGATAAGAATAAAGTATGTGAGGAACCACTGAAAATTCACTGTTGATTTTGGTGTCTGAAAAAGAAGGTGTATCAACTGTTAATGTAGCATGCCACTTTCTACACATCTTACAAACAGAACGTGATATTAAGCAGCTTTCACTCTACATGTTGTATATATACTGATGTCTGTTTAGGTTTGACTATTCCATTGATAACAACAGCTGGGGGGGAGAAGATTGGAAAGACAGCTGGAAACGCTGTGTGGCTTAACCCAAATTTAACTTCTCCGTTTGAATTCTATCAAGTAAGTATAGAAATTGAATTATCATCCAAGCATTTCATGACTCTGATTTATTATTCAAGCATATCACGGACTCAGACTTATTATTCAAGCATTTCACTGACTCATACTGGTTTTATCAATATACCTGCCTTATAATTAAAAAATATCTTATTTTGTCTTAGTATTTTATGAAACGGAATGACGACGAGATAGAGAAGTATCTAAAGCTGTACACGTTTCTATCGGAGGATCAGATCACCAAGGCTGTGAACAAACATTACGTAAGAATAGGGCATGTTCCTTGTTTAAATGTTATTTTGATGATAATGAAAAAAATATATTACCATACATTTTATCATTAACAACAAAATTAAAAGTATCAACAGACATCTGATGGTGTGTCTGTCTATTTGTCTGTAGGGCGAATCTTGTTAGTAAAATGCCAGTTACACAATTTCACAAGAGTTATGTACCTTTAGTTAATTAACTTTTACAGATCTGTTCCAGTTTTTGTCACACATTGTGGTGGGATGGTTAGATTGGTAACAATGTTTGTTTGTATACACCTGTACTTTTCTGTTATCTTTTTACCATCACACTAGTCAATACTTTGTGTACATTGGATTATAGTACAACACAAAATTTAGTTGACTATGAATAATCTTGTACTGGTTGTGTGATAAAAGCTTGTATTCTGTTAACATTACCAACCCAAAAAAAATGTTCTGAGAAGAGTACAAATGTTGCTAATTTTATGATTGTTAAGTCAATTGCCTCATGAACAGCCAGTGTCATTTTAGAGGCAGGGCTTCCTTGCAGTAGTTGTCTACCTCATTGACATCAAACCTGTTTGATGCCTCATTTTAGGCAAGTCTTGGTATGAGATATGGACAGAAGTTGCTGGCAGAAGAAGTCACACGTTTGGTCCATGGTGGTAAGTAGTGTTACAGGAGTTGTTGACCATTTTTTTCCTCCTCTTGACCGGTGTATCCTGGATTTCACTGGTGTGATATCTCCTCTCTCATGACATCATCAACCTTATGTTTCAAAATGGTACGCCAATTATAGGAGAAATTGAAGGTTAGATAAGGGGTTCTCAACCCACTGGGAAAAGACTATTAAGTTAGTGAACGCTGAACAAGCCTCATTTTTGCCAATTTTCAGATTATTAGATCTCAATATTTCACCTCCAAAGATCCTTAAAGATCCTTTTTATCATCGTAAATACTGTATAATCCTACATTTGTAAAAACTGAAATAGCATTTATTTGTACAGGCTTAAATATTTATTTATTTAGTAGAAAATTAAATTGTGAATAGTGAATAGTAGAGGTTCAACTCATATTTACCTTTTAGAGGTGGGCCTGGAGCAGGCAGAGAGATGGACATCTGCCTTTTATCACGGAACAACAGACAGTTTGACTGCCCTGAGTTTGGAGGAGATGCAACAACTGTTTAAAAACGTTGTTACAATACCATTGCTACTTGACCCTGGTTTGACTGTGAGGGATATGTGTCTGAAGGCCAAAATATTTGATAGAGAAGGTAACAGATTTCTCAAGAATAACCATCTAAAACACCATCTGTTTCTGACCTTTTCGAATTACTAAGATTTCGTTCCACAAGATGATATTTAGACCACAAGGCATGAAGTACCAGTGAGTTTATGGTATGGTAAAGGTTTATCACTTGCCAGTTAACTGCTAATATTTGGCCATGAGGTAAATGGTTGGAGACATTTAATTTTCCTTTTTTCAACGACCTTGACCTATTTTCCAAGTTACAAGTGTCCAAGCTTTCGTTCCGTAGGATATTTTTCTATTTTTTGTTTTGTTTCATCACCCACTTGAGTGTAATTTTTGTTACATTCTGTTTAGAATTGCTGGAATTATGTCTGTTCACTTTCAAACATCTGAGGTCTTGTATATACACTAAATAGTTATATGATAAAAATTCATCTTTCATAGCTGATGCTGATCGAATTATCAGTGAGGGTGGATTGTACATAAACCATTGCAGGACATATACCCCTGATCTCATCTTATTACCACGGCAACACATACTATCGAATGACATCACACTGGTCAGACTTGGTAAGTATATATCTAGTAACCATGGCAACACATACTGGCACATGATATCACACTGGTCAGACATGGTAATTATACATATCGTTACCATGGCAACACTTGCCATCACATGACATCACACTGGTGAAACTTGGTTAGTATATATCTAGTTACCATGGCAACACATACCATCATATGACATCACACTGGTCAGACTTGGTAAACATATTTCTAGTTACTATCGCAACACATAACCTCAAATGCCAAGAACTTTGAAACACCATTACAATATACTTGAGTGTATACAATTTTTGGAAAGGTTCTATACAATAATGCTAACATCTTAAATCAACCATAGTTTCCGAAATATTCATCTAAATGTTTATTTATGAATTCATTTTGACAGGTAACTTTTCATTAGATAGAGAAATTCATTCTTGGGTGTAGAAGAGTGTGTGGTATGTAGTTTGTGTTTCTTAGAGACCTGAGATTGTGAACTGTCCTGTGCTATCCTGTTTGTTCTTAAGACGTGGCTTACAAGAGGCATTTTGCCTGATGTTCAATGAAGTAGCCTCAAGAAATTAGACCTGCCTCAAAGTGACGCGGACTATTTCAGGATCACTATCCTAACAAACAAGAATAGATGAGTGATAGAAATATGACATTGGTGTCTTTTCAGGGAAGAAGAAACATTTCATCATCAGATGGCAAAGTCTGTGATGTTTATCAAGGACATCAGTCACATCATCAGATGGCAAAGTCTGTGATGTTTATCAAGGACATCAGTCACATCATCAGATGGCAAAGTCTGTGCAGTTTATCAAGGACATCAGTCACATCATCAGAGGTCAGTCTGTGATGTTTATCAAGGACATCAGTCACATCATCAGAGGTCAGTCTGTGAAGTTTATCAAGGACATCAGTCACATCATCAGAGGTCAGTCTGTGATGTTTATCAAGGACATCAGTCACAACATTAGATGGCAAAGTCTGTGATGTTTATCAAGGACATCAGTCACATCATCAGATGTCAGTCTGTGATGTTTATCAAGGACATCAGTCACAACATTAGATGGCAAAGTCTGTGATGTTTATCAAGGACATCAGTCACATCATTAGATGTCAGTCTGTGATGTTTATCAAGGACATCAGTCACATCATCAGAGGTCAGTCTGTGATGTTTATCAAGGACATCAGTCACATCATCAGAGGTCAGTCTGTGAAGTTTATCAAGGACATCAGTCACATCATTAGATGTCAGTCTGTGATGTTTATCAAGGACATCAGTCACATCATCAGATGGCAAAGTCTGTGCAGTTTATCAAGGACATCAGTCACAACATCAGAGTCTGTGATGTTTATCAAGGAGTCTGTGATGTTTATCAAGGACATCAGTCACAACATTAGATGGCAAAGTCTGTGAAGTTTATCAAGGACATCAGTCACAACATTAGATGGCAAAGTCTGTGATGTTTATCAAGGACATCAGTCACATCATCAGATGTCAGTCTGTGAAGTTTATCAAGGACATCAGTCACAACATTAGATGGCAAAGTCTGTGATGTTTATCAAGGACATCAGTCACATCATCAGAGGTCAGTCTGTGATGTTTATCAAGGACATCAGTCACATCATCAGATGGCAAAGTCTGTGATGTTTATCAAGGACATCAGTCACATCATCAGATGGCAAAGTCTGTGCAGTTTATCAAGGACACCAGTCACAACATTAGATGGCAAAGTCTGTGATGTTTATCAAGGACATCAGTCACAACATTAGATGGCAAAGTCTGTGAAGTTTATCAAGGACATCAGTCACATCATTAGATGTCAGTCTGTGATGTTTATCAAGGACATCAGTCACATCATTAGATGTCAGTCTGTGAAGTTTATCAAGGACATCAGTCACAACATTAGATGTCAGTCTGTGAAGTTTATCAAGGACATCAGTCACATCATTAGATGTCAGTCTGTGATGTTTATCAAGGACATCAGTCACAACATTAGATGTCAGTCTGTGAAGTTTATCAAGGACATCAGTCACATCATCAGATGGCAAAGTCTGTGATGTTTATCAAGGACATCAGTCACAACATTAGATGGCAAAGTCTGTGAAGTTTATCAAGGACATCAGTCACATCATTAGATGTCAGTCTGTGATGTTTATCAAGGACATCAGTCACATCATTAGATGGCAAAGTCTGTGATGTTTATCAAGGACATCAGTCACATCATTAGATGTCAGTCTGTGAAGTTTATCAAGGACATCAGACATTTAAACATGGAGTTGATTCACAGATTTACTGAAGTGAATTCCTTCTATTTCATGTTGGACATGATCACACACCACTGACTGAGATAAATCTTTGTATGAAATATTTTTCAGACAGAAAATCAACAAATTTACAGACCTGACAATTTGACAGTGCTAAATATTCCATGACCACATGTGAAAATGTCTTGGGACATTTACCCCACCCTGTTGGTTTTCCTTGGACATTTCTTCTCAGATCCACAATGTGCTTAGCAGGACAATCATATTACTGTAAGAACAACTGGATACATATAGGACTTATTTCATGCTTGTTGAAAATAAAGGATGTTATTTATGTACTATAATTGATGGTAATTAATTTGTGGGGATTTTATTTTGTTGATCTTAATCGAGAAATTTAGGTCACCATGATATGATAGATAAATCAGGGTACACGATATCTTAAAACTAGACAATTTCATTAGTATTGTTTTTACCAGGAAATCAAATGTCAAAGAAAAGTGTTTTTATTGAAGACCACAAAAATTTATGCCCAATGAAAATATAATTTCACAGCATTTCCTTGTGATGTATATGGAAGAATAAAACATTAATTGCAAGGCAATTTTCTCTTATCAATTTAACAATTTTTGGCTTAAAGTTTGAAGGGCTGTTATTATAGGGAGAAACGTCAGATTGTTAATTTTTGGACTGATATCAAAAGAAGATGGCCGACAGGCAGCCATCTTGGATTTTTTAATGAAGTATGTTATTACTATTTCTTGAAAAGTAAGAGAAGGATCTTAAATGTCCTATATAGGTTTGATCCCTAGTGGTGCCCATTGGGTCTAATGAGCAAAACAAAATGGCTGAAAGGTAGCTATCTTGGATTTTGACTTCGCAAGTTTGTTATCAATATATCTTGCGAAGTACTCTAAAGATCTTTCTCAAATTTCATGTATAGCTTCCTAAGTCCCTAGTTGTGCCTTTGTGATTTGGGGACTGATCAGGAAAACAAAATGGCTGACAGACAGCCATCTTTTGCCTAGTAAACATTGTTATTGCTTTTTCTTAAGAAGAATTGAATGGATGTCTCTCAAATTTTATACGTATGTTCCCTTTGGTCTCTCCTTGTGCTCGTTTGATTTTAGGACTGATCAGAAGAAACAAAATGCCTTTAAGGGGGCCATTTTGGATTTGGAAGATAAAGATTATCATGGCTATTTATTCATGTTCAAATGTCTTATCATAAAGAGCAAAAACAGAGAAGAGAAGATAAAAGAAGGGAAAAGATTCAATTTTCAAAGAACATATAAAGATCAAACAATGGTGGGTGCTAAGACCCCTCTGGGATCTCTGGTTAATTCTTTTCCTCCTACACGTCTACACTTGTACATGAATTAGAGCCATCTTTTTATATGAAAAGAAGTTCTGTACACACTTGTAAGAAATAGTCTTTCGTTGTACCTTGTTACATGAAAAACCAGTTGGTGGCTTTTGACTTGAATTTCCAGGATCCAGAAAATATTCAAGAGATAAATTCCTTTTTTATGTAAATAACAAAAAGAAAACAATAAAGATAGAAATAAAAAGATGGTTTAGAATTATAATGTGGCTGTGCTAAAACAAATGTGATGGTCTCTGTGTACTGTACCAGATGTAACCATGGAAAGATTTACACTATGAGCTGAAAAAGTAGAAAAATTCAGTCAGGCTTTCAGGAAGGGTAGACATCATCTGCTTCATCCTTACGACACCCACCATGTGAATCTGGGTCAACAATCTATCTGATGTCTCGTATCACAGTTACACAAACAAAACCACAAGATGTACAAACGAGCATCAAGTCTTCCCACAGATCATTCAGTTTGATGTCATATTGTTGTCTTAGTAACTACAGTAATAGAAATCCCAAACCCTCCCCATAAGAAGTGTGTGTGGTCCTGAGGAACTCGCTACCTCCACTCAGAACGAGGATTCGATAGTTATGAAATACACTACACCATGGAACTTAAAGGGCTTGCTTCTTTTATAAATAAATTGTTCTTTGAAATGAGTATCCAGGACAATAAGATTTGATGTCTCATCACCACCAGCCTCCTTATTTCAATCAAGTCACTGTGACATTGTGAGTTACGGGACACTCTGACATCCTGTGTGGTGTATACACTAATGGTTTCCCAGTCCCTACAGTCGTTGTAGTGAGTACCATTTGACCTTGTGTAGTAAATTTACAGATGTGTTTCTTCATCCCCACAATGATATGGTTACTGGCTGTAACACATATACACTGGGGTTCTTTGTTGGTTCTGAATTTGTTTGTAAG